TGTGTACGTGTTTGACTCAAAAAGTTCAATTTAAGAAATGCATGTATCATGGTCGTGAAGTAGTCACGAGAAATTGCCAAGATTCAGTTCAAGATTTTGGAAAATGCGGAACGACAATCAAAAATTGAACAATTTTTGAACATATGCCGTTTTTGGTCGAAAACTCAGAAATCATGACGTCACTAAAACCTCGATATCTAAAAATTTCCGACCGATTTTTTTGAAACTTTGTCACAATAACCTTCAATCAATTCCCTACAGGTACTTAAAATTTGGCGCGCCTGCGGCGCGCCGTTTTTATGCTATGGCCCGGCGAAAAAAGTGGGGGCGTTTAACGCCCCCCCCCCCAGCAACTCGCGGGCTATAGCTACACCGATTAAATAATCGCTTAAACATGTGAGTCGCGGTTCTCGCGGTCGCTCTACACGTGGACGCGGACGCTGTTATGAGTACCGTAAAGTGGGGCTATTTGAGACAGTGGGGCTATTTGAGACAGCATTAAAATCGCTATAAAATAAAGATCGTTTGATTTTTGTGTGATATTTTTGCTCAGGGAGGTGTGGAATCGAGCAGTAAATCGTCTGAGCAAAAAATTAAGCATAAATTTTAAGTGGCTTTTATTTTATAGCAATTTTAAATACTGTCTCAAATAGCCCCACTGTCTCAAATAGCCCCACCTTACGGTACCTAAGTCGCTATTTTTCTGTCGCTGCTTTAAGTCGCTGTTTTCTGAATCGCTGTTTGACACGCTTACGGCATAAGCTAGGGGAAGTTTGGGCAATGCCGGAGTTGGGCAAAACCGAAATTCGAGATATTTCTAAAACCGTAAGACATGGATGCCACGTCTCAGTGATGCTCTGAAGCTTAAGTGACTACAATTATCGCATGTTTGTTACGAGTCGTCATTTGTAATACTTCGGCTGTAAGGGCGGCAAAAGCGTTTTCAAGGTACGTTTCCCTTGTACTACATGCGCCTTTGAAGCTGCATTTCTTACTCATTATGCTACCGTTTGTCTGGCCACTTCGGTCAAGTAATCTTCAGCATGTCTTTGCATAAGTGTGCTGCCTATTTGAAATTTATACAGCACGTTTAAAAGTTATGGGCCTGCAAATGCAAGTATGGCTGGCTGGGGTAATGCCGAAAACGTGCAATTACGCACGTTAAAGCACGCTACGTGGACTTTACTGCTGTAGAATAGCAACGTGTATTTTTAGTCAAACAAATTACACTTTCAGCCGGCACAACGGCCTGTTACCTATAAGGAATGATTTACCTGGCATTTTCTTACTATATCACACAATTATAGCTCACAGTGTGCACCAAGCGTCCTCAAGCTCTTAAAACGCGAGTCAGCTTTGATGAATTTTGGATAAAATTTGAGATAAATTGGCAAAACATCAATGTCGGCATTCCTCGTAGATCATTTATCCCATTTTCGGCTTTCCCCGCAGTCTGGGGCAACGCCGAAAAAGTCAGTTCTTTGATATGATAGTTTTTGATAGTTTTTGATCTTTCTTTTTCTATCTGATCTTTTTGATCTTTGATAGTTTTTGCGCTTAACGGTATGCGAATTCATCAAATGCGCCTGGTATGTTTGAAAGACAAAAGACTGGCCTCTCGAATGACGCCAACAGGAATAGCTTATGTTGTCTACCTTGCGTGCTACGGGCGTCAGAAAAAAAGTATTCGGCGTTCCCCCAACTTCCCCTATTCTATCAGCGTTCAGTGCTCTTTGCTGGTTATCAATACATCACGATCTCGATGATAATCGTGTTATTGCGAGGAGTCGACTGGGATAATTATTACTGGTCAAGTGTCAACGCCCTCTCATTGCAAATAAAACCCTTGAAATGTGCCAATTAGAACGCTCTATAAAATGACTATCTCAGATTTTTCGGAAACTAGTACATTTTTTAGCCGAACATCAAAAAAAGATTGCTGGAAAGTGGAATGGTTGTTTAGAGTGAAGACATCGGACTGTGTGGACCATCGAGACGGTGTGCATCAGCAGTAAAGACCGTCCGGTGATGGGACAGCCCGTCCTGCCGCTCAAACGGCCACCCCGGAGGGATTGTAAATGTAGTCCAACAAGGACTAGCCGTCACCGCCGGTTGTCTGGTGGGGCCTGGGCGTGACTCCACCAGTCTGGAAAAGGAAACGTGAGAGGGATGCGAATGGATTCGTCCTGAGTGAGGCGAGGACGGATGCGCCACTCCCATCGTGTTATTATTTCCATTCATAAGCGTAGGAACCATGGGTGCAAGGGTGCAGCTGCACCCACAATATTTATCCAGTGGGTTCAGACAATGTATTCTGCACCCACAATAATCTGAACCAAAAACCCCTTTTTCATCAACACTATGTACTTCCCATGCAGCACGGCAAATTCAGGATATGTTGCCTACTATCCATCTTTCGAAGCATTTGCTACTGTGATCAGTGATGTTGGTCTTCAAAACTTACATTTGTGCTGAAAAAAAGGGAAATGGAGCATGTGATTGAACACATACCGAACCGATGACCCACTGTCAAAAATTTTAGCCCGATATCTTCGAAAATGGTTAAGTTGGCCGCTTTTACTTTTTGCGGTAGTCAATATTGACAATATTAGCCCTCGAATGTGTGCAGCGTTTTCCAGCTTCTAATGTGTAGGGGGAGGGGGAGGGGGTCGGTCGGACCCCATGCCGTTCGGATCCTGATCGAGCTAGAGCTTCGCGGAAAAAAACGAGAGTGTTGCCCGTGACAAGAGGAAGCCGATGATACCCAATTTTAAGGTCCTACTTCATTGGTTGACCTTCCAGGTCAGGTCAATATTCCAAAAGTCGGGAAAATCGGGACCTGCTAGAACTGCGTAAAGTGAAGCTGTTATCGGGTTTTTCGGGGTGCTGATCACAAATATCTGATGTTAGTTTTGATCACAGATGATTTCTTCATGCATTTAGGCCAGATCGGGTCAGGTCAGGTCAGGTCAACCATTAGGCGTCCTACCGGCTATCCATAGTAGGTGTCAACTACCACTGACGGTGTCGTAGCATGTCACGAAAGCACTAAAACTGCTTCTTAAACGTTCAAATGGATGCCAAATTCGAAATCAGCCCTATAAACTACCCTAGAAACATGTAAAACTCGAAAAAGTGAACCGAGGTCATCAAAGGTCAATGACCTGACCTTCAGGTTATCTTCACACCCACCGTGATGCATGGGAAGAACATCATTTCACATGTTTGGACGTCTACAATCACAAAAAGACTGGAAACGCGCGGATAATGTGAGCTGACATACGCCAAATCGCGATTCCGGCCGAACATGGTCTCGAGAATCAGGTCACAGGTCAAGGGTCTTTTGGGTCAGGGTCATGAATTTTTTGGAGTAGGTGTAAAACTGATCAACTCGAGGGTACTAAAAGTTTCGTCGCGATCGGCCGCTTTTTGCGCGAGTTATTTGCGAACAACCATGGGGGGAGGTTCATCCGACCCCCCTACACATGCGAGGGTCAATGCTTCCAAATGTTTGTTTGTTTTGTTGGGTTAGGCCCTTTCGGTCCAGTAAGACCATTTCAGAGCCGGGAGGATGATAGGATATAGGGGGAGACATTGGTCTGGGCAGGCACCCTAGTGAGTCGCCGGGGCTGAGCCCGTCCGAAGACAGGCCATCCAGCCCCAAGGCACTCACTGCACCCGGCTACGGGGTGCGCTCCCTCGGGAGCAGCGGTGCCGCTCCAAGGGAGCAGCCCGCATGAGATAGAGTTGCCTGTCCAGCCCGGAGGGGGGTTGCGGCGTGGAGAAGGATTTCAGTATCCTGAGGATAGAATCACGGAACGGTGACTTCCAAATGCACTTATCGGTTGGTACCTTTTCGACATGGTACACCATCAAAGCTCGTAACGAGCCTTCGCTCGGGTGTCGCCCCCCCCCCCCCGCTTCACCGGCCATGGCTGGATTTCTGCACCCATGCACCCACAATGTTCCAGCCGTTCCTACGCCCATGTTTCCATTTACGCTCGCTAAACTGCGGCGAGAGTCGGGGCACATAAAGGGGCAGCAGCAGCGACGCATGCGGCGGTACATGACAACTGTAGTTTTAGTCTCTGCCGCTGGAGGCCCGGTTTCTCGGCTCACATTCTCTCAACGAATGACCGAGCATGGGCAAATGGGCACTAGAGCGTATCCTGGGCGAGGTCCACCGCGGGCGATGTTCCCACTTCCATCCTGAGCGATCGTCTTCTCGCTGCGAAACTGTAAAATTGGAAACGTTTGTGCCAACAATCGATGCATTTTGTTTTTGCTATACAGCAGTTTGTGGGCACTAATCTATAATCATTTGTCCCGACAGTGGCGCGGGAACTTCTTCCAGACGGGGGGGGGGGGGGGGGCTGAACCATAATGGAGAACAACCTAGGCTTCCCCCAAATCTAGTTTTCTCACCGGTTTTAGGCCACTTATTTTTCAGACCTTGGCCTTTTCAACAACAAAAAAAGCGAAAATATTTGAAAAAAGTCAGGTATTCCGTCTCAGCTGAGTGAAGAAACTACCGTTTTGGCAACCTGGAATACAGGTTTTAATCTGCCAAATGAGGTGCCGAGCCAGTGAAAGAGGTGGATTTTTCACTTACATGCTTTCTTCCTTTGTGACTGCACAACCCCTAGTTTGGGATGGACAAGCTGCCCCAACGGTTCCTGACCTCATGAAAAATTGTGGGGCCAGGGGCACCGCCCCCACGGCCCCAGAGCTGTGGGCTGTGGGGGCAAGCATCCCCCACTGCCCCCTCCCCGGTTCCCGCGCCTATGTATGAATCTATAAGATTATGTTAGTAGATTTCCGATTTCGATTCCTCCAGCTGGGGGGGGGGGGGAGGGGGCGCTCAAATACATTACGAGCCCCCCCCCCCTCCCAGCCGAAAAGTTGGAGGGGCTCAGCCCCCGCTAGCCCCCGGTTCCCGCGCCACTGTGTCCCGGTCTTAATTAAAATTTTGGTATCCTTTCTTTTGTCTCCTTTCACTGCTAAATAAGGCCACAATAAGATGAAGGCCAGTTTGAAGCCTATCAGGTCACTTTAGCTGGTCCAAAGGCGTTAAAATTACCTATTATGAGGTAGCAGCGAAATAAACAGTCATGTATGAAACTTGCATGCCTCATTGTTTTGCAGCTTGCACGCCGGACCTCGCAAGACAAGCTGACGACCAATGCCATTGACATTGGCGGTGACCAAGTCAGACAGGCTATGCAAAGCAGATGGTGACCACTGACCACCACTCCTTCCCGGTCAGCGGCGGCCGAGCTGTCAGCAGTAGCTCTCTGACAGTGCCAGTGGCAGCGATTGGCAGGGGCTGCCAGCAGTAGACTTATCACAGTGCCAGTGACAGCGACTGGCAGCGCGGTGGTCGAGCTGCCAGTGCAGTAGCTCTCTCACAGTGCCAGTGGCAGCGATTGGCAGCGGAGGCGGGCGGTTTTCTCTCCACGCTCGAGCTACCGTCGAGTAGATATCGTTTTCCACTGGAGGCGCAGGTGCGCCGTATAAAGCCCGCGGTCGGCTCTGCTCGGCAGCTCAGTATCTCCCCTCCGCTCGAAGATGAAGGCCTGCCTGGTGAGTTTTAGAGAAGGCAGCAGCTTCTCTGACTGCTTCTCTTCTCTGCTTTGTGACTTTCCAGTGGTATTTGGTGTTTACGTACATCTTATGGGTCACTCCATGACCACCGTGCTATGCATCAGCTGCTGTGCAAAGCTTGTGAGTATAATAAAGCGCCTTTTTACTTGTAAAAATATAACGTCTCAGAAAAAAAAAACTTCGGAAACGTTCGATCAGTTGGATGTCACGGCCATCCGCTGCCGTTATTGCTAGCCTCTCTGATTTTCATACATCTGTGCTCCCAGCTCATAACTCCATTTTTTACGTGCACTGACGTCCCCGGTGGCTCTTCCAGCTCGTTCTGGCCGCTCTGGTCGCGGTGGCCGTCGCCATGCCGCGTTACGCCCTGGTTCCTATCGAGGAGCTGCCCTACGCTCCTCCGCGACTGAGGGTGGCCCGCGCCGCGCAGCAGTACGACAGGGATATCTACCAGCCGGAGCCTTCTGAGCTGAGGTGAGTGGCTCCGACAGAGACGGGCTGCCGGGAAAGTTCGGGGAGGTGTTCGAATAGTCTGGAGGTGCCAACAGATTTGGGGTTGCCGAGAAAGTCTGGAACTGGCGATATCACCCATGTGAATGCTTGCATGATCTTGGAGCTGCTGTTACAACTGATTTCATCCGGGATTGATGATGTTATTGAGATTCGGGTTAGACAGGTTAGGTTAGACGTGTTTTAGTTGAGTTAAAGCCCTAGGCCCCACAAATCAGCCAGCTAACAGGAAAGATACGCAAAGGTGCGGTGGACGGTCCGTTGTGCAGAGACCACTTTCACGAGAAATCGATCGCCCTCTCATCGGTCAGTGTGATCTTTTGTGCATGACTCACTCATAAGAGAGAAACTGAGACAGACCAGCCGTATAAAGGGCTGAGTCAGATTGGTTAATGACTGGCAAACTGTGTCAATAAAATCATTTATCACTGACAGATGCAGGCTGCAGCTGCACCCCAGATTCATTTCTGGGGTGCATATGTGGGCGTAACATCTAAGCCATTCGATGACTAGGTGTGACTGACTCCTCTGTAACCATGTCACAGCTGTGCCGCTAACCTCTTCTGACCTGTCGGCAGGCCGGCGCGTCAGGCAGGCCACCCGGGCGGCTACGGCGACCAGGTCGACTACGGCGCGTACACGGGCGGGTACGGCGCCTTCGGCTGGTACGCCGACTACCCAGTGTACTCGTACGACAAGTACCACCGCTAAACCCATCACCTGACCTCCGCACCAAGCCACCGCCTGCCGGCAGAGACGCCAGCGTGACCTATAGGCAGGTCATCATCATATCGCCCAAGGCAGAACATATCAAAACGACCGAGGCGAGTCGTTATCACATCACCGAATCGACAGCCCGACCACCGATCTGCAGAGTTGTGCAGCACCGCCACCGAGCTGGCCTTTGTTGAGAACGATGAGCCGCTGCCACAGGCGTCTGTTTGCTGTTATGTGTCCGGCAGTGGCAGCTGTCTTTCAGCTGAAATGTGTATTGAATGTGCAATAAAACGACGTAACCAGTGAGATCTGATTGTTTCAGCTCATTTATTGTTGCACGATGAAAACAAACCGCCTATAGAAACGTGCGTTTGCTTCAGAAAAGTAAAATTCGATTTGAACTCAGGCTAAGGGTTGTAGCCAGCTGGAATATCATTTTTCTTATGCGCACGCATAACAAAGGCCCTCTTCTACCCCTGCAAAAAGGGCTCAACCGACTGCGCTTAATGTGTACGGTTTTGAGCCAAACTATAGATGGGAGAACCGCACAAGCTAGTGGATGTTTATTTTGAACTTGCGTAGTGCTCACGCATTAACCCGCGCCCCGTTGGGCTCTGCCGAGCAACGCGCCCGGTTGGGGGGCCATTTTGGCCCCCCCCCCTAAGATCTCGAGAACCACGCAACATAGCGACAAGCGGTAAACGGCGTTGGATAGCCCCAACGGGGAACTACCTTGTGACCCAATTTTATTGACCTAGGTCAAACCGATGACGTCACAGGTCAGGTCAAAGGTCCAATTTTCACCGTTTACAGGCATTTCAAGAAATGCGTTGTAAAATCGAGTAAAATGCATTTCATTGAAAATCATCGATGGGGAAATGTTCTTCAAACACATATTTTGCTATTTGAGGTCACTGATACCAGGTCAGGTCACAGAGGTCAGGTCACGGGGGGTCACAATATGAAAGTGTCGTGTGATACATGTTTTATGGTCCATTTTACATGAAAAATGCGATTATGTGGGTCAGGCAGCCTTTGGGGCCAGCTTAGGTCACGTTTTGGTCAAGGGGTCAGGTCAAGGTCAGGTCAAGGTCAGGTCAAATTAGGTCAAATTTCAAAGTTAATATTTTTGCATAGAATGGGTATCGAATCGATGCAGCTCGTCACGGGGAGTTCAATGGTGGTCTTTGTTTTGCCGTACGTGGTCTAGAATCGCCAAAAATTGAGTTCAAAAATTTGACGTCATCATTTTTGAACAGTTTTTTCGCTATAACTTGGCCAAAAAACGAGATATCGATCTGAAACTTGGTATGTATATAGAAGAGCGCTGGGACTATCACATATATTCCGGTTTTTTCGAAATTCGGAACAACTTTGGATTTTTTTCTAGTTTTTCTAAAAAAATCAATTTTTTGAATTTTTTGGGTCAAAAACCAAAAATTTTGAAAATCCGAGAAAGCAGTTTTGTAGCGCCGCTTTTTGTCTACTAGACCATATAAAGAACTTTAAAATTGCTTGATAACTGTAGATTTGGTGAGCGTTTCAAGATTGCATGTTTTTTGCTCATTTTTGCTCGAACATGACCTCAGTTTGACCTCAATAACTCCTGACCTAAGGTGACCTAAGACTTGAAATTTGGTGTGAAGGTGTCAAATTGATGCCTGAGAAGGTCCTGAAAATTTGGCGGCGCTGCGCGCCGCCGTTTTCTTGCTATTCAGGAAAAACCACAGGGGGGGCCAAAATGGCCCCCCCCAACGGGGCGAGGGTTAGCACACCACTTATTTATCTTGGGGCATGGGTGGGTCGGAACCGTTTAAAGTTTCTTGACGTTGAAGACCGATCAAATGGGATCAATTTTGGAATTCAACGTGCATGTTCAAAGATCAGCAGGGACTCAAAATTGGAATCTAAGCATGGTGATTGAGGCATTCAACATCTCGTGAAGAATTTGAGCGAGTTTCGTGTCAATGAACTTTCATCAATGCGCTCTCTCTGTAGGTAGACGGTACATATATGTACGGTAGGCTGTTTTAGAGCCCCGGATATACCTACTGGATGGTACGATATGCATCTAACATCAAGTACACATAAACAGAGAATGAAAACACGTGCCCGTTTTATGAGACGGTTGAAATGCTGATCTTGATCTAAGCTAAGATCATTGGTGTGCTTTTGGTACATCCTCTATCGTTTATCGGCTGCTGAAAAGCTCAAATCCCTTTTTCAGCACATGCAGTACCAAAACATTTCTTTTTAGATTTGCTTGACCTGACCTGATGACTTGAAAATATGTCTCTAATGAGCGAACACGTGCTACGTCACATTCAATCCATTGGGGACAGTGCATTGGACACGCTTCACCCCATTGACCTTCAAAAATGCTAAGTACGAGTTCAAGGTACGTACCTTAGTCAAGGGAGTGGTATGCACGTTTTCCAATGGTAATGTGCATATCAACCACGATTACTACGATGCCTTCGCGCTGCAAAGAACAGCTGCTGAATAAATAGGGTCTGCATGGTATAAGAGGCACGAGCTCACGACCAATGGCGAAAGACAGAGCAATATAGGTACTCGTATAGCTTCGGACTATCTCATCAGGTATAACTACAGATGAGAAAAGTTAGCCTAATTTCCCATAACTCGAAAACGGCTGAGGGTATTGAAATGGAACAAATACGTGGGATATTTGGGACATTTATCCATCAGCTGAGCACAATTTTACCGCACAAAGTCACCAGTGCAATTAAAAGACGTCTACCAATCGCCAACGTCGATCTTTTCTTCTGAAACGGTCGCCGAAGAAAGCCACTGTCATCACTGATGCCAGCGCCATGCGTGCCTACACAGTTCGTTTTTCGTCCGGCGGAGAAACTGATGCCCCACGGAGACGTTGGTTGAAATTGAAACAAATGAAACACACTTGGAGCCAGGTGAGGGCTGTATAACGGGAGCGACGGCTTCCGCCAAGTTCCTGGCCGCCTCACGTCCGCTTGCGCTGACATGGAGTGTCTTCCATGCTGAATATTGATAATAAATAGTGAACTGCTTTGCGGAAACTACTCATAAAAATGTTGTCGCTATCACTGGAAGCAATGTCATACTTATATAATTGTTTTGATTGATCAAACTGACTTTCTTGACTTTTTTTCTTCCTTGCCGTCAAAAGTTGGCTACAGCATGTTGTTGCATTCGGTATGTGACAGAATGGCGACCTAATCGACTGTGGCAATGCTCCATCATCGTCCTCACTGTTTACACTCGTAACTCAGCTTACGTAACCCCATGCGGCGAAAGCTATGAAATTGTCATGAAATGCGTGAGAAGGACCGGTGGTTTAAATGCACCATAACTTATGCTTCTACGACCCATTGTTTTCAAGACAATTGAAAAGAAGCGATAATTTTCAGCACCACCATAGTATCGCGCTTGGATATTTTGTGAGCTAATTATTGAAAGCGGTTAAGCGTTGTGGCTTATGAGTTTGTTCCATGGTGAAATTGACGCCAGGCGGTTACCTAGGAAGAGGTTGAACTCGTTTCTTGTAGGTTAAATATAAGCGTATAACGTCACATGGCTATCGCTAATTCGGTGTTGATGGATTCTATACAGGTATGGTGTATCAGCTGGCAGCTGTCTGGTTACCGGATCAACCCACCGTTGCCTGAGGTCGGTCATGGGTCGGCACCCAGCCGAGACAGGGTGCAGGTCGGAGCAGTCGGCTGCACTGGTGAAACCTCCCCTGGCCTGCGGCCTGCGGCGGGGAAGGGCGGGGCGGGCGGGCGGGCTCCCCTGGGCCGAACCGGGCCGTGACAGCGTCTGTGCAGTGGCCCCATGTGCGAGCACCGAACCGTGACCACTGAGATTTCACTCTCACGGCGGAGCCAGAACGGCACACACGGGGCCATGAAAGTCACCATTCCGTCCTCACTCTCACCTTCAGGGCACTCATCTCGCGCGCCATACTCCATTTATATTTTATCTCTCTCTTTCATTCTTTTTCTCTTCTCTCTCTCTCTCTCTCTCTCTCTCTCTCTCTCTCTCTCTCTCTCTCTCTCTCTCTCTCTCTCTCTCTCTCTCTCTCTCTCTCTCTCTCTCTCTCTCTCTCTCTCAAATCATGAAAACGAATCAGTATTTACCTACCGAAGGTAGCCAATGCCTTATATCGTGACTAGAGATGTCAATCACATACCAACTTTTTGGTATACGATACCAAACCGATTACCAACTTGGTATTTGGTATTTCAATCCTAATGTACTTGGTATTTTGTTGGTATTGTGAACCCTCACCTGTATTAGAGGCTGAGAAATTGGTTAAAAGTCGGTATTTCCCTCATGTTATGAAGTTGGTTTGGTATCGGTTTTCTTCATGGTTTATGTTGGTATTTGGTTTGGTATCGGTATTCAGATTTTCTGTATTTGACATCACTAATCGTGACCACCGTCATTGACTGTAGACCATCCTAATTGGAAACAAACAGGGAGCGTTGAAGCGTCTCGAAGCGGACTCTCACCACCGCTTTGTGCGGTGGTGCGGAGGTGGGCACCTTTCTTACACTCATGGGGCGGGCCCTGGAAATTGAAACGGCAGATCTTCTCCTCTGCACCTATATACATGCAGCAGCTTGGCTTTACAGTGATATGAGGTCTATGTTGAGGGATCTCATTGGCTTAGATACAGAGTTTTATAAGTGGAGAGATTGATGTAATTATAAACAGTCAATGCCAAACATACTACGGACTCCGTATAATTCATGGACGTAATGTTTCATGAAATTCCAATTCAGGTGATTGGTATTAACGTGAGACGTTGCTGATATTTTGAGGAGCGACTCACAGCGTAAATTATTATCACCAGGAACAGGGTTATTCGCCATTCGGAGAGCGAGACAAAAGATAAAAGGGGTGAAAGCGATAGTGAAAATCACAACACGGAAGCTGCTCTGGTTATGCAATTTACACATTCATGCTAAATAACGAGCATAAATTTCAACGATTGCGTGACCTCACGATATGTTCAGGAATAGTGGTTAGTGGTAGTATTGCACAACTAAACCCTGATGTAAGTGGTGCAAAGCTCACTGATGTTAGTTGTCGGACTTTCGTCCCCGTCTTGAGTTGAGATGTTAGTTTCACAACGTTTCGGCCAGTTACTTCTCCGGCCGTCGTCAGGTGTTCTTTGGCCCTTAGAAGGACCTGGATGTTGGTGGCGTTGCGCCGTACATATCGAGGCAGACAGTCTGCCTCGATAGTGGAGTGGTTAGAACCGTGGACTATCACCGGGGAAACCCGAGTTCGATTCCCGCTG